CCGTACTTGGCCACGGAAGAGCTCCAATTCTACGAGGAAGGAAACACGGTCTTCCACGACCGTTGCCGCTCTCCCTCGTAGAATCAAAGCTCCTCCTTGACGTCCATTACCGCTCGCCGAGATGAACACGGTCCGCAAGTTCAACTAGCTACTTTAACCTTCTTTCATGTAAATATGCAAGCTTGAAGTGATTTTGAGCTCACATTGCTTACAAATGAAAAAAACCATAATAAAGAACTATATATATATAGTGAACAAAATGAGATAAGACAATGGTGAAAAATGAGAGTATGAGATTTGTAACCTTTACAACTGAAGAATCGACGGAGGAATCGAAGAATGGATGGAGGAACAATGGAGGGAGGAAGCAAGATCACTAGTGCAGTGAGCTTCAAAATGTGCTGAGCTCGGGCTCGGGGAGGAAGAAGGAGACGGCCGGGATATAAAGGGGGGACCTTTAGTCCCGGTTGGTGGCTCCAACCGGGACTAAAGGTAACTTTCCAACCCCGGGCGCAGCCACGGCCCGAGAGTAGACCTTTACTCCTGGTTGGAGCCACTAACCGGGAGTAAAAGTCTACCTTTAGTCCCGGGTGCAAAAAATTCTGGGACTAGAGCCCATTTTTGCCGAGGATCAAAGGTCTGTTCTCTACTAGTGTTGGGCGGCCTTGGGTGGTGGCGGCGGCATGGGAGGCGTGCGCGGGTGCTGGGGCGCGGCGTGAGTGGCGGCGGCGGCGTGCGACATAGGAGCAGGGGAAGGGCGGCGACGCTGGGCAGAGAGAGAGAGAGGATATTTTGTTTAAAGAGCAGGGCTCTATTTCCTTATTGAGTTGGAATAGTTTTTTTTTTTGATGAAACAGAAGGGTTTGACCCTCTACTGGAATTTATTGATTTTAAAAATTTAAACTGTACAGTGTTATGCAGGACCTCAAGAAACAAAAAAAGGTCAAAAAGAAAATAAGAAAGATTACACAAAGGCTTGCAGCGATAAATCCATTCTAGGATGATAGACAGCTTTCGGTCTAAGCTTAACTAGAGCAAATTCACTCTTGAAAATCTGCTTCCAGCGAGAAACCGACTGGAGAATGCCTTTGAAGATCACATCATTTCGAACCATCCAAATAGCCCATGACATAGTGATAATAATTTTCATAAAAAATGGCAAGCCAAGCTGCAACTTGAAGCACTCCACGATAAAACAAGGATCATCAGAATTGGGCAAGACCAACTGCAGGGTGGACCAACATGCCATCGAAAAAGGACAGTGAAACAGCAGGTGGGCCAAATCTTCTTCAACGTTCAACCCACAAAACACACAGTTATAATGTAGAAGGTGCATATTCCTTCTCCGAAGCAGAGCTCTAGTGCTCAATCGATCTTTCAGGACTAACCAGAAGAAAATTTTTCTTTTATTCTGACAGGAAGAACGCCAAAGCCACTTGAAAGCAAGATGAATTTGTCTATAACCAATAAGATACTTATAAGCTCTGTGGGAAGAGAAGGACGAAGAGCCCCAAATATAAGACCAAGTGGCATTGGAGTGATGCAGCTGCAGTCCCTGAAGAACACTTGTAAGCAAATTTAATTGAGCAAATGCTTCACGGGACAAAGGTAAGTGAAAAAGACTATGGAGTGTAGGAGTATTGACTGCCAATGAAAGGGTAACCAAATCATTCCTGCCAAAAGAATATAGTTCAGGATACAATTGACTATAAACTCCAGAACCCCACAAATCATGCATGCCAGAGGAAACAAGATTTTCCATCTTGAAGAGAGACCATAGCAAGACTAAACTAGGTTAACAGTTTCAGCAAGTCCCTCCACCAAAAAGAACCTCTGAAGGTGACATTCTTTACTGGCAATCGATCTCTAGAGTAATACTTGTCCCAAACTAGCTGTACCCAAGGGATTGGAGCCCTATTGTAGAACTTGTGAAGGTGCTTTAAAAGCAAGCTTTCTTTCTGAGCCGTGATGTTAATGACCCCAAGCCCTCCTTCATCTTTGGGTAAGCAAACCATAGGGCAGGCGCTGCTTTAGGAGGCTTTTTGCCCCTATATTTATAGTCCCTAGCGGACTTGCACACCAAGCAATCCTTATAGTTTTGGATTTTCCTTTCCTAGAACAAACTCTCTCTTTTCCTAACAAAATATAAATTCCTTTTCCTAAACAAAATCTCTATCTATTTTTTCTAAATATCTTTATTTGCCTAATTCTTCTAGAATTTGGGTAATGTGGAGGTGGAGCGCAAACCCCCCCCCCCTCCTATGCCGTGCCCCTTCCTGGTGCGCGCGCGCTGTGTGGCCTCGGCTGCCGCTGGGTCGCGGGCTCCCACCGGCCCGTTTGGCCCGCTCTGAGGCACTACTGGATTAAGGTTCTTTGCCGAGTGCCTCAGGCACTCGGCAAAGGCCAAATTACACTCGGCAAAGCCCAAATTGCACTCGGCAAAGAACACACGACAAAAAATTGATTGGCAAAGACCTCTTTGCCGAGTGTCTTTTATCGGGCACTCGGCAAAGAAAAGCGACCGTCACGGCGCCGAATCCGTTGACGGTGGCTTTGCCGAGTGCCAACTCTACGGGCACTCGGCAAATATATATATTTTTTTTAAAAAATTCTTTGCCGAGGGCCCACTGGCCGGCGCTCGGCAAAGTTTGAATTTTTTAAAAAAAAATTCTTTGCCGAGTGCCCTCTTGCCGGCACTCGGCAAAGTTTGAATTTTTTTTTTAAAAAAATTCTTTGCTGAGTGCCCTCTGGCCGGCACTCGGCAAAGTTTGATTTTTTTGAAAAAAATTCTTTGCCGAGTGCCCTCTGGCCGGCACTTGGCAAAGTTTGAATTTTTTTTAAAAAAAAAAATCTTTGCCGAGTGCCCTCTGGCCGGCACTTGGCAAAGTTTGATTTAAAAAAAACCTTTGCCGAGTGCCCTCTGTCTGGCACTCGGCAAAGTTTGATTTAAAAAAAAAATCTTTGCCGAGTAGAGGCCGTGTCAATAACGCCGTCGCCAAGCTAGAACCGCCCATGCTTCTTGCCTTGCCCCGCCCTCATGACGGCCCATGCTTGTTTGTACCAAATAATAATGATGTTTTTCTTCAACAACAGATAAGAATTTCTCCAGATCAGATGACTAACTTCTAAATACATTGACTCCAATATTTACCACAGCACTGAAATTCAAAATAAATGGAGGGGGTATCATTTAACAGAAGTAACCATTAGAGTGACTTACAAGACTTCTAGATTGGTCAAATTTGAGAAAGTCAAATTTGAGAAATTTTTTGGGATAGGTCCTTGAAGTTTCGTCCCATATATACGCCTAGCAAGATCACGGCATTAGATCTCAAAGATTGGAAAGGAAGGAGCTGTTCCTAACAACAACAAACCAAGTGGTTATGCGTACAAGTCTGTGAGACTGGTAAAGTTCTGAATAAATTCGATCTGGAATAAGCCCTTCGACATTATTATCAAATATCCACCTGCATAATCAACCACAAGATTAGTTATTCTTTCTTCAAATTGGATGACATAGAAGGTTACTGAGTATATAGAAAACAAAGGGACATAAGGCGCACTTACAGGGACTTTAGATTTCTTAAAAGTGATGATTCATGAGGAAAAGATCCACTGAGATTGTTATTGTTGAAGTGCCTAGCTATATGGAGAGCATTCAATCAGCGATGACTCTATGGGAAGATCAGATATCTTTGCTGACAAATAATTTTGAAATTAAGAAGGCTTGAGTGCTAGCCTATAAGGGTTAAGTCTTCTCATAAGATATACAATTTATACGTAAGCATCCACTATTGCATCACAGTTCACAGACTAGGTACTTGAATTACACCAGCTAAACTAATACAGCTACAATCTGATCATGGGATATTGTAGACACCAGGTCAAGGATGTAGGATATTATTTTATTTGAAATTTGCTAAGCTAATATCACAAAGTATCACTGTCACTTGAGATAGACAACAACAATAAAGCCCTCTTAATCCCAATCAAGTTGAGCTAGGCTGGGCTAGATTTGAGATAGAGAAAGCAGAATAAGCATACACTTCTTAGATAAAGAATCACTTATTGTATTCAGCTTATCAGCTATACATCATGTCTGCAGCTGTTATAGATGCATGGCAGGGATGTAGTGTTGTACTATTGTGGCCCAATCAAGTAGGAAAACTTTAATCATTCTGTTAGCAGTAGGTTGAATTAATAGCATTCAGCAAGATGGACCATCAATACATACATTCTGGAATAATACAACAACAATGGCTCAATGAAGAGATAAATAACATGTACAGGCTTATATTTAGGGGAGCAAGTATGGTTATCACCATGTTTCCAGTTTGGAAAGATTGCCAACTTCTGGGGGTATTAAACCATTCAAGTTGTTATTACTTAAATCCCTACAAAATGAAATAGGAGGCGACTTACAATCATATTGAAATTCCTATTCTCACAAGAGAATGCATAGAACCATATTGACAATCAAGGGTAAGGGGAAAAAACAGGGTTATAATAAAGCTGGTAGAGCTTAAAAATGGTAGCCTTAGGTCCAAAACAAGTGTTATAATTGAAAGTGCATTTGATCAGCAAATACTTGTCAGTTTGGTTGTCCGAGGCAACACTTTCCACGAAATAGCCCTACTCATTGCTTCTCAGTAGAATGGCAGTGGTGTTATACTGTTCGAGAATCTATGGTACAATTCGTAGGAGCAAAGTATGTTGCTCCAATAGAGCTAAAATGACAACTACAATAGGATAGGAGGGAGTCATGGTAGACAAGCTTTCTGTCATGTATACTAACAGTTTGGTAGGATGAGATCAGATAGTTTTTCAATTAGATGCTATGTATTACATGGATATCTGAGATACCAAAATACTAAAAAGTACCAAAGCTAACAATGACCGTAGGTACGTTCATGTCTGGTATATTCCTCTGGGCAGTAGAACACTGGATGTTAGCACAAGTCCATATTTTCATGAAAATCTTAGTTATAGGCCTACTCTTTTTAAGTAAACTCGGATATATTCTTAAGTAGTTTGTCGTGGTGCAATTTCAAGCTGCAGAGAGAGTAGTCATTACTTCAAGAAACCATTTTAATCTAACATCAAGCTCCCTAAAGCATTTGCAATTGTACAGCATGAACCATCGATTCAAAAACTCACATAGAGACGAGCTCCGTCAAATTGAAGAGAGCCAGCGGGATCTCCGTGATATTCTTGTACCCAGTCACATTCCTGCACCATCCGGAGATTCCAGACCCACACATCAATCCCAGGTACACATAGGCATCAGCATCAAATGGGAGAAAGAGTGAAGACGACGCACAGGCCCGTGATTTGGCACCGGCTGATGGCGGGGCAATTGCAGTCGATAGACGCGTTTATTTCGAACGTCCCGGACCAGACGCGCTTCATGCACGGGTCCTCCGCCGCCGCCTCCCCCTCCAGTCGCCACTGCCGGAACACAGCGTGCAGGGCATCCGCTGCAGGAACGCGAGATCCACGAGTTACTAGCTGCCAACTTTCTCGTCGCCATTACACAACCTCATACACCACAGAAGGAGCGAGAAATCGATACCGTCGGAGGGATCGGTGGGCGGGAAGGGCTGTTGGCCCTGCGCCGCGTCCAGGGTGAGGAGCGTGAGGAGGAGGAGAAAGCCGGCGACGAGAGCGGAGGCGGAACGAGCCATGGGGGCCGGCGTGGGGCGCAGCGGCCGCAGGCGGGAGTTGACTTGTGCTTGGCGCAGGAGCAGGCGGGCGCGGGGCGGCCTGGCGGTGCGCGCGCACGGGAGGGGAGGCGCGCGGCTCGGGGGGGGGCAGCCAGGCGTGGCCGTGGAGGGGTGAGGCGCGCGGGACGGGGCAGGGGGCGGGCGGGCGCGCGGGGCTGGCTGGCTGTCTGAGGCTTGGACTGCTCGGCCGGCCGAAATCGCCTAAGTGCCCCACCTGTCCCTGCCGAGCGCCGGATCAGGGAGGCACTCGGCAAAGGAGGCAACTTTGCCGAGTGCTCCGATCCGGCCGTCGGCAATTTTTTTTAAATGCCTTTGCCGAGTGCCCCTGTGGAGGCACTTAGCAAAGAGGAAATTTCTAAAAAAAATAAAGAACCCTCTTTGCCGAGTGCCTTATTCTTGCCACTCGGCATGCCATGCCCCGGCACTCGGCAAAGTTTTTTTATTTTTTTTTATTTTTGGCCTCCAAATTTTTTGTGCAGCCCTTTTAAAGTACTAGGAATTCCTAATTAGAATTTGGGGAATTTTTGTGGCTTTTTTATATATTTAGTTACTTTATTTCGTTTACTTGATTTTTTTCGAAAAATATAAATTTGAACTGCAGGTGGTACGAATAATGGAATTTAATGATTCAAAAATTGATAGTCATGTTAGTGAGTGTAGTGTGAGGCCGTATCCAGGAACGGACCCGAAATTTCGGACATCTTGTTCACGAAACATGACCGCGAACCTGCGTGCGAAGTGTTTTTAAATTGTATAAAAAGCAAACGAAGTCCGAAAAGTATGAAACTTGTTGAGATGTCGTGATATCGTATGTGGAAGCTATGATAAAAATTTCAGAAGATTTCGTGCACGTTGTGACGTACGATGCTTACAAACCAGGATATCTCCACGTGTGATATCAGATATCACACGTGGAGATGTTCTGGTTTGTAAGCATCGTACGTGAAAGAGGGTTTTCAATTTGCCGAGTGCATCGTACGTGCTTAAAAAAATTTCCTCTTTGCCGAGTGCCTTCGAAAAAAAAATTTCTTTGCCGAGCGCCGTGTCAGAGGCACTCGGCAAAGTATTTTCAAAAAAAAAAATCTTTGCCGAGTGCCAGATCTAGGACACTCGGCAAAGATTTTTTTTTTAAAAAAAAACCTTTGCCGACTGCCAGATCGGGAGCACTCGGCAATGTATTTTCCAAAAAAAAATCTTTGCCGAGTGCCAGATCTGGGACACTCGGCAAAGAATTTTTTTTAAAAAAAAACCTTCTTTGCCGAGTGCTTAACAGTAGGCACTCAGCAAAGAAGGACGTGGCCGAACACCGTTACGTGGGGCGGCCTATGTCGAGTGCCGTGCTTTCGCCGAGAGCCTGGCACTCGGCAAAGAAGTCCTTTGCCGAGAGACTTTTTTGCCGAGTGTCTGGAACGTGACAGACATGTATGCAAGCCTTTTTTTTTTGCGATGGGTATGCAAGCCTTTTTCTATAGTAGTAGTATAGTACACATTACACCGACATGAGTATCAAATAACTGAGATACAGCTGAAAAGTTCTTACTGAGCCTTATTTTTTGGACAAAGGAGAAAGCCAATAATTGTGGTACCATTATTAACCATTTCTCGTGTAACATAATTTATTATGCAACCGACCCCAATCGGAAATATTGGCTGCCTGTGTATATATGAGGCACATAAAAAAAATCGACCGGAGGGGTTAAGACTGCCCCGCAGCATTATAAATAAGAAGAAGGACCTTCTCACCCGGCTGAGAAAACCCCCGAACCCCTACCCCCAATGCTTTGGTTATGAGGACAGACGAGGGGATTTTTTTAACCTCAGCCTGAAATTCGCTCTCACGGGGAGTCAAACCCAGAACCTGAGGAGTGCCGCTGGGTCACCTAACCGTTTGAGCTAGGCGCCCTTTGGCTATATGAGGCAGATAACCATAATGCAAACGTAATCATATTATATAGGGCACTGCAGATGTTCTTAATCAGGTAGCTATCATGTTATTCATATTCACATGTAAGGTGCTGGCATCACTCAAAAAGCTGCTGTTTTCTTCTTCTTCTGTATAAGCTTTTTGGTCAGGAGAAGAAGAGCTGCCGATTCTTTCCCTTCTGGAATGTCAGGAATGGGGCAAAGAACAGCTAGCTTAAGATATTTTCTCCACCATGTAATGGTGAGAAAATAAATTAATGATGTGGCTTACAGCTAACATAACATGTCTACAAACGTTTTTTTACAGTACTCATACATCCGCACCAAATGAGACTCTTGAAAGATATATTCTTGAAGGGTACATAACTACATATATATAGTACTATACTAACTAAAGCCAAAACACAAAAAAAAAATTAAACCTGTTGAGTGGAGTTGAAATATTCAAACAGGTCGGTCCTGCCTCTAAGGCACATTCAGTTTGTTTTCAAAATGGGATTGTTTATGTTTGATGTGATCGCTTGTTGCACTGATTCGCTGTCGAAGTTTCCCGTGAGGTGAAGCTCCTTGAGGCTTGGAAGTTGCTCGATTCCGGTGAGGCATTGAGTACCAGTGGAATACCAGATTATCTTCTCCAGCCTAGGAGTAGCTTCTTCATCAAAGTTGATGCTGATGACGTCTAAGCAATCTATAACAAGGTACTTGAGATTCTGAAATCCACCTTTGCTGAAAGTGAGTGTTCTTTCACTGAATGACTCCTGTCGAAACCGAAGGTAGCTCAATCTAGCGATCCTACCAATGATTTTAATGTCACCAGGAGTCAAGAAAGTTTTGTGAATTGTTATCTTAGTAAGTTCTCTAAGGTCTTTAACCATATCAGTAAATCCATTTACCATGCCACTAACTTGTAGATGGCGAAGATACCTTGGAGGCATGAGTAACCTCTCTTCCATTTCTGTAGCTGTGTCTGAATTCTCATTGTTCGACATGATGCAGATTGACAAAGACTGAAGGCATCTGCTCAGCTTCCCTATTGCGTGGAACAAATGCCTGAAGGTTGGTTTCTGAGATCCATCAAAAACGAGGCCCAACTTCCTCAACTGGAGTAGGTTGCCAATGTCAATGAGTTCATCACCGTGGCCAAAAACCGCAACATGGGACAGCACCTGCAGTTCTGTCATGCTCCCAATATGCTTGGGCATCTGTATAGTGTGCAAAGATTCTTCTTCCTGGATCCCGTCGAGGCTTCTGCAGCCAGCAGTCTTGACACCGGCAAGTAGGTGCTTTAGCTTTGGAAGGAAAATGGATTTTTTTCGGGAAAGCGCGCACCTTTGTTTGTCGAATGTCCAGTGTCTCCAGGTAACGGAGCTTGCCAAGTTTCTTGGGTAGCTTTGTGATGCCAGTGTTCCGGAGGCTCAAGTACTTGAGCTGAAAGACATGGTTGCAGATGTGCTTCAGCTGGTGATCCTTGAAATCCATGCAATCTTCTAGGTCGAGCACTTGCAGCAAACCCAACTGAGTCGATGAGAGCGGAATCGGATCCAAGAACAAGGCGTTAGGCTTATAAGTTTCTGCCTGGTGACTTGATGATGCTGAGCTAAAGAAATGATTGAAAATGTTCCAGCATGTCTTTGCTGAACGACTGCTGCTGGCCATGTGGCGTTGCTGTGCAGGTGCAGCTTGTTGTATCTGGAACGCATTACGGATCGAAATGCGATGAGCCAGGTCAGGCGGAAGGTTGGCGCTAACAAACTCAGAGTCCCTTGCCACCTCGGTAACAAGGTCGTGGATCAAGTCATGCATGACACAGCTCTTGATCCTCCCGGTGACATCAGTGTCCTTGGGCACAACGAGTCTCCTGGCAACAAGCATATCGAAACAGCGTTCGGCTTGGTCCAGAGCACTAAGCCTGCCTCTCCTCGTCACCGTTCCTTCAGCCGCCCACCTTCTCACCAGCCTCGTCCGCCTAAAGGTAGTCCTCTCTGGGAAAATGCTCAGGTACAACAAGCAGTTCTTGCAGCTTCTGGGGAGACCGTTGTACAGAAACAATATGACCTGCTTCTGGTTGTTCGAATAGGCGGAGTAGGACGAATCATCAAGGACAAGGTTGTCCCTCAGGACCTTGAAGTCATCTAGGGTTTTGTTATGGTCGACGTAGAGAGCTTGGATGAACAGCCTGCAGGTGGTGGTCTGGAGGGCCAGCCTTTTGAGGATGGTCCTGAGGACAGGCTCAAGATCCGTGCTCTGCTGGCGGGTGTTGTTGGTGACCAGGGCGACAGCCTTGTCCAGGTAGAAACTGGCAAGGTAGTCATGCCTGTCAGAATCTTGGTTGGACACGTCATACATTTCGTAGGGGAGGCACGAGTAGGCCACCCGAAAGGACGGCGTCGTGATCAGTATGGCGCTGCCAGGAGCGCAGCTGCCATCGAGGAAGGCAGACTTGATGCCATGCCAGAGGAAAAAATTTGGGACGTCATGAAGTAGCAGCAGGAACTTTCTACCTTGCAGACGCCGGCGAAGCCTCTCCACGAGCTGGCGCTCACTGTCGAGCCTCCTTCTTCCGGTTCCAGTTCCAGTGATGCTGGCTGCAGACTCTGATGGTGCCGGTGGCTCGTCTAGCTGGGCTAGCGCGTCCCGGAGGAACTGGGCAGGAGTGCACTCTCCTGCTGTAGCCTGGATCATGGCCATGCAGTCCAGAGAGCAGGAGCTGGCCACCCATGGATCGAGATACGCCGTCTTGGCGAAACGAAGAGCTTCGTCCTGGAGACCCATGCTGCCCACAAGTGCAATCACTCTGGGTGTGGCCTGCTGTTGGCCTCCGTCCTCCGTCATCCACCTGACAAGAGAGAAGCTCTCGAACGGGGCTGGCTCGGCCTCGGCCAGAGCACGCCGCCGGGCGTCCTCCTGCTCCCTGCTGGTGCCGTCGTCATCGTCTCCGGCAGTTGACGACAGCCATGACGACTGCCTGCTAGTGGCACCCCTCGACGACGATATCGGAGGTGCTTCGACGCCGTACCTGAGCCTCCTCTCCCCCACCT